ATGTCTCCTTTAAGACTTTAAATTCTCAGAAGATGTGTGTCAGGAAGGCAGCAGGAAATACGGCGTAAGCTTCTGGGGTCATGGGAATGTCCCTCTGCGAGACCTTTGCTGTTTGCTCTGGTACAGGTGGAGGATTAATGACAGAACTTCATGAGCAATCTTTAGTCCTGCTGCTAGTGTGGCATTTATTCACTTTGAGCTGGCTGGTGTTAGGATACTGTAGTTTACAATCTGGACTTCATGATTATGACCAATGTTGGAGTTTCTTACCCATTTTAAATCACTATTTGTCATGTCATGAGTGAGTATGCTTTCGTGAAAGCCTTTCCTAATCCGTAAGACAGTAGAAATGCCCTAGATTGCAGTGTTTGATATGTTTTTTCAAGGTTATATAAATAATACACCAGTTTAAACATCAGCTTATATGATCATGTTTGTTCTATATGTACTATAAGATACATGTGTACCTGCCTGTGATGTCCACATGTGTTATGTTTAGTTCTGCAGCTGAGACATTTGTCTGGTTTCTTGCGAGTTTCTTACAGAATCTGAAAGTAGTTGGTTCTTCATCACTTTATGCTCCTTCTCTTATGCTGCTTGCCTAGACCGCAAATCACCTGGTAAAGAACTTAGCGAGGGTTTTTGTTGGGTCTCAGTCTGTTACTTCTGCTGTCAGAATTTCATAAAAGTTTGTGTAAGTGGTGCATTCATTTTAATTCATCATTATCTTCATTGAAAGATTTATGGTTAATGAGAAGGCTTCTCTCAAGTTCAGTGTTAGTAGTCAAGATTAGTGGAACACATACTGTCATTGATCATGCCTACTAATGCTGGCAGGCACGGCAGTATGCCATATGTCTAGGCAGGTTTTTGATGAACTAAAAAATGAGATGCAATGTTTTGTCTCATAAATTTGGTTTAAAATAAATAGAAACTTTTATTCTTTAAGCATTTTTTTTTGTCTGCATATTCAGTAGCAACGTTCTGTGCAGTTAAGCTTAATTACCTAGCAAAATTGCTCATATAAGCATTGTCACTTCATGCAGGGCATCTTTTTCTTCAGACTGTCTTGTCCTATTGGTCTGGTATTACATTACTTTTAATGAAATACCAAAGGGCAGAATTCTGTCTTTTTTTTTTTTTTTCCCTTTAGATTTTTATTTTAAGAGTTTTGCAATGTTTACACCAAAAAATGTAGAATTTTAAAGAAACTTTATTTTCAATCAAGAAGTTCTTCTGTAGTTTGTCACCCACTTCAAAAGAAAGATACCAAGCTCTGGGTCATCAGCAAGCTGACTTTGCAGCTGAAATGGTAGACTGGGAAGACCGAAGGTAGTTTTGCTAGGGGGAAAAAAAGGCATGAAAAGCCAAACTGGAATTTTAATTTTGTTAAAGAAAAGGTGTGCCACGTGCCACCGTCCTCTTGATAAACTGGTACAAATGTGTAGCTGTAGCTTTAGGCTTGGAGGAAAATAAGCTAGTAATAAGTTGTGGCAAAATCTTACCCAGTAAATTAGACCCGACTGAACAGTTGGGACTAACTTACTGTCTTCTGTCAGGACATTGTGTGGGAGAAGTTTTCATTCTGCTCCTGCTGCCTGTCTGATGCTGGAGATTTTTAATATTTAAACACGGAGAGACAACAAAAATACCTAACTGCTAAGGTACGCTGTCTACTGAGTCTGCCTGTGATCTGACTGCATTCTGCTGCTCTCAGCCCAGCTCTGTAGTCCCATCATCATGTTCAAATCTCCCATTGACTTTTCTAGGAGTTCTGCCAAGATATGTGTTTGTGGCCAGGTGATTTGGACTTAGTTATGTACTTTATTTCTTTATTGTTTATGTATTTTTCCCTAATAGATTAATTATGCATGAGTGATACATATTATTCAGAAACAGAACAAAATGCTTACATTAATTGCCAACCAGCTTAGTCATTTTAAAACCATACTCTTATTTAAGAGTACACGATGTTAGAATTATTCTAGGCCCTACATGGTGAGGTAGAGATATGCTATAAACCAGCATTGGAAAGAAAACGCTTTTCTGAGCTTGTGTCCCAGTTTTCAGTTACAAAATGGTGGGTGTTTTTTTCATATTTTTGCCTGCCATGTCCCTTCTGAAGAGTAACTTCTCACATACCATTGGTAGTGGTTGAAAAGGAGACATAACATGGAGTATAAGGATAGGGAAAATGCTAAAGGAACAAAGGAGCTATATGGATGCATAGAAGATATTGATGCTTTCTGCACTGGCCAGTAAATTCTGCTTGACTAACGTGTACTGCTGCAAGAAAACTTCCAAGCTTTTTGGAATTGGGCAGGAACATCAATTAATCATACTGTTCATTGCCAAATAGGACTTTGTTTGTTTGTTTGTTTTCCAGTAGGGAAGAGCTGCTCACCTCTTCTTCTCCCCCCTGGACAAAATGAAGAGTACTTTTGTATAGTGTTTTATAATGCTTCTTATGGTTAGATGGGCATATTTGTAGCTACATGGTCTCCTACTCTGGGATGTAGCCCAATTTAGGATACATCTAGTTTGTATATCATGATGATATGGGTTGTTTGCCAAGGATTTCAGCCTGCTGAAGTGAAGACACAAATTATGGAGAGGCGAAATTTCCTAAGGGTTCAGTGCTGATACTCCAGATCACTCATAACCAGAAACGTTCTCAAAAGTTTATTAAAATTCTGTCAGTCAGGATAATTATAACTAGGTCATTTTTCATTTAAGAAGTTCCTGTAATGTATATAAATGACAGAGATCATAACAAATAGTAAATATTTTGAGATTGATTTTAATCTCCCACCTGTGCAATTTGGCATCCAACTGATAGGAGTGAGTATTCATTCTGTTCCTTTATCTCTACCCACTGTAACTCAGTGAAGTTTCAAGAAATTAAAAGTGATATAAAAAGCAATGTATTTTCAGTACTGTGTATCTTCAGGATAAAATCAGACCTTTCTAGTTTTTATCAATCAAACAACTCTAGGCTGAGTTTTTATTTCCTTATGGAAATAATTAAGAAACAATGACAAGAAAACAAACAAACAAAAAATCCTACCCAAACTCAATGGATTTTTCTTTTCCTAAAGAAATGTGTATGCAGTCCAAGGTTTTGAGCTAGTCTCTAGGCTTCAGTAACTTCTACAGGCTTGTCTTCAAGCCTTCTGAATTCTCCAGTCTTCGGTTTTATATTGGAACTCTTTTTGCCTTTCCTTGCTTTACAAATAGATCTTTGCTGGGTCTGAGCCCAAAGTGTGTGAAGTGATTAGTTTATTTGACAATTTGAGTTGTATCATCATCAGTCTCTGTGAGTTAATGGAAGAATGAAAATCTCAAAGCATGCCTGAATCACAGAGTGAGCATTTTGCTGGTAAAGGTGCTCAGACAGTGCTGTTCCATGTGAACTTTTCATTTGAGTTTTGGGTGCAACACAGGTATTCTGACACAGCACTACCCATTTTTGTTATACTCTCTGTGGTCTAATCAGTTTTGATACACTCAAGATGACTGTATCTGCATTGTATTCACAAGAAATTCTAGTAGGTAGGCATGAATGGAAAGAACCTGAAGACTTCCTTTCAGACTTCTGGGTCTTCCTTGGTCAGTCCATTTTTTGTTTGTTCGTTTTTCTAGTTATTACTTCATTATTTAAATCCTTCGTCATCAGGCTGATTATTCTTGTATTGAGCCTTTTTAGATAATACTAATAATACTTTATTCTGTATAGAGTGATCTGTCTGTTAAAAATGATCAACTTAATGAGCAATTTTCCCTTTTTTGCTTTTCTTCTTTTTTTTTTTCCCCCCACCCAAATCTTCTGCTCTTTATGGAGAGATGATATTTTTGACAATAGAGAAATAGCTAATGTGCTGGTGTCTCCTATTCCATGTGTCACTCTCTTGGTGGCTAGTATTTGAAGTTAGTGTATTTCTAAACTTTATGAATCCTAACTCACTTCAAATTCATTTTCAGCCAGTTCCACCTTCCATAAAGCATTAGAGTGCAGGACAGTGAAAGAGGGAAGATAGAAACAGTTGCGCATCAGCTTTTAATCTTAAACCATTATGTAGGGTGAAATGACATCACACAAAAAAGTAAATCTAACAGAAATCCTCTCTTCAGACATGTACTGTGTGCACAGTGGATGAACAGTAGTCAGCTTTCCCCTCAGGATATTGTCAGATGGAAGCATTTCACTGTAAAGTGTTTGCAGCTGGAGATGTTACAAAAAATGATAAAGGTCCTATCATGTGAAGTCTGAGCCAAGCAGGGACTTTCTGTGCACTCTACTTCCTTCTTTGCTTTATCATCCTGAAAGACTTTATTTCTGCAGTGTTAAAGTCCCTGAGGCTACACAGAAATAACTTTAGAAGAATGAGTATTTGGGAGAAACTCACTGGACAGGCTTTTGTTTCAGCACGTATGTGAAAAAGAGTTAACTACTGAAAGAATAACGGAGTAAGGGATGCCATGGATACAAAGTTGTGGGCTACGTGTTACTCTTAGGGCAGGAGCAAATGAACAAGCTTCTGTGAGGTAAGGCAAGGTATGAGCGTCAGTTGCTCCCCTGTACGCATGCTTTTGGCCAGCAATAGATGCGGGGTAACTCACCATCTTTCACTCAGAGTGTTCTTCCTCCTATGCAGTAAAAAAACCCATAGCTCTTGCAGTTCATTTTTCATCTAAAATTTCAAAACAGTTTCCAGAGAAGGCCAGTAACTCAGTGACTATAACACATGGAGAAAGTAAGACATGAAGCAATGAATTAAACTTGCGCAATCAGCATGGGGCTCCGTCAGCAGCCTAGGATACTGGTGCAAACTCTTTTTTAGCTTAAATTAATCTGTTCTGTTACAAATCAGCAAAGTTTCATGATTTCTGGTCTTACATTTAATTGTTATTTAATAATGCACATACATGCAGTTGTTTCCAATTTTGCTGTTCCACTAATATGATTTCTCCTTTTTTTTTTCCCTTTTTTCTAGTTAAAGCAGAAAAAAAAACCCTGGTAAAGGGATCCCTCTCCGGAACTTCAGTCCTGCCATGCTTCTTTTCAACCACACCCACTATAGCCTCCAGCTATGCAGCTGAATATCTTCGAATCAAATGGTCAAAGGTGGAACTGGATAAAAGTGGCAAAGATGCAAAAGAAACCACAGTCCTGGTGGCCCAAAACGGCAACATCAAAATAGGTCAAAGCTACAGAGACAGAGTGTCTGTTCCGACCCATTCAGAGGAGACTGGTGATGCTTCGCTGACTTTCTCGAAGCTGCGAGCAAGTGACGCAGGGGTGTATCGCTGTGATGTTATGTACGGAGTTGAAGACACACAAGGCATCGTGTCATTGGCTGTTGAGGGTAAGAAGTTACCTATTTCATTTGTAGTCACCAGTGATTCCAGTTGAAACAGTAAAAGTTAGTAATTAATGATGATGAGAGCATCTAAGGGACTGCCTTAGCAATCTACCCTTTCTTTAACTGTTCACTCTTCCTATTCTTTTTGTCTTTTATTTATTCTTACGACTCTTTTCCAATTCATGTCTTTCTCATTTCTCATACCTTTAGGAGGCTACTTTTGAATCCTGGAACAAATGCTGTCTGCTTATTTCCAAAGTAGTGTGATACTTTGGATTTATATCTTTTGCCAGACAAGCTCCATCTTTTACTTGTTGGTTTGGTTTTGGGGTGTTTTTTTGTGGGGGTTGGCTTTTATTTTTTTTAGGAGCTACCTGTAAAGCCTTCTCATACTGTCCCTTTTGAAACCCGGTGTGCATTGTGGTACTATACCTGTCTGAAAACATCGGTGTCCTTACAGGAAGACAGACTTGTCAGGCAGAGGCAGTTTCTTTTTGTTTGTGCAGGGTGAAAAGAAGCAACTGCCTTGCTACTGGAGTTGTGGCTGGCCTGTCTTGCCACTTGATGTACAAAACCATAATGCCAACAAAACTGGGAGCCACTCTTTCTGTGATAGGAACATCAAGCACTAAGGAAGAGTTTCTTTTGTCCCAGTAAAAAAGGATGAATAGATAGGAGGAAACCTACCTGGCAGAAGCTGCAGGAAAGCAAGTAGGGGATGGATGATGCAGGGCTAAGAGTTTACTTGCCATCACTGTAAGGAAATAGCCTCCAAAACGTTGAGGGGGGAGAAGTGTACATGTAAAGAGATGGTAGAGACAGGGCTTTCAAAAGCATGCAAGTGGCAAAAGCAGCACCTGATCTATAGGTGTTTTTCTCCTATGGCCTTGCTTATACAGCATGGTAAATACAGCAGAGACTGCTACAAAGGCTGGTGCTGTATAGCCCTTTCAGTCTGGCTCTGAGCCTGAGCTAACAAACTGTGCTGAAAGCAGGACATATTAGCCCAGGCTCTGTGCCACGTACATGCAAATCCTGGACCCAAATTACTGTGTGAGCTTAGAACAACACTGTGCTGTGTGGGTGTACAGCTTGCCTGAGCCTTTGTTTAGACTCTGCCTTGCACTCCTTTGCACTTAGGTGTTTTTTGAAAGTTCAGTATTTACTTAAATGACTGAATCCCAAAGCAAACATTAATATCTGCTGCTGGAAATTATGGTTTCGGCTAAGATTTTTTTTGTTTTCTTGGTGGTGAGCTTAATAATGCATTGTTCTTCCAATATGCTTAGTCTAACTTGAATGATCTTTTGTCATTGATTCAATGAAAGGTTTTGAAGGTGTGCTCTTAGTTTGAAAATACAGTAAATCAGTGCAACCATTAATGTCTATATAACTTAATAAACTGTTTCGTCCTAATGGCAAAAGCAACCCTGGTTTGAACATATGTTTCAGTAACTAGTGCACCTTGCATTTCTTAAATTCAAATGCTCTCTTGACTATATATCCAGGAGCAGCATATTTTTACTATAGTAAAGAATCTCCTGATTTATGGCAGTACTTCAGCTTCTGTACTTAGTGTTCCTGCCAAACTCTGCAATGAGATGAGCTGATCATGTTTATTTTTTAATTGAAATAAAATTTTACACACTCCACTTTCTTTCTGTAGCTGTTCTTTTCCTTGGTTACTTTAGTGTCAACATTTCAGGAGGGGAAAAAGCCGTATCTTGACCCAAATGGGAAAGAGCATTATTAGTGTCATTTCTGCACTCCATTTGCTATTTTCTGTGTTAAGGAAACAAATCCATTTATCAGACTCAAAAAGATTTCATGTGAATGTTGCTGCTCAAATCATCTTCTCTTGTTTCAGTAGAGCTTTATGCCTTTTGTTCTTTTTGTGTGATTCGATCTTTTATTAAAAAAAAAAAAGCACACAAACAAATTACTTTTGGGACTAATGTGTTTTTTATTTCAGTTGTGTGTTCTTTTTGAATCTGCACCCTAAAGTGATAGCAACTGGAGAGACGTGATCTGCTGTACACTCTGTGCATTATTCACTGCCCATTATTAGCATGGTGTGGGAGATCTTTCCATGTTCATTGTGGTAAATTCTGAGCTGGCGGCAGGCATGGTTCAGCACTGTGCTCTGGTCAGCTCTTCCGGGTAGAGCTGGGGCTGCTGCTTGCAGGGCAACACATGAAGTCCCAGGAAAACTATCACCCATTTTGCTATTCTGCATATTTTATGCTCATCAGAAGTGAAACATGCATTTGTGTAGCATTTTTTTCTCTGAGGACTGAGCAGCCATGTGTTGCTTTAGCTTTTCAGTGGATTAAAAGTATGCAGAAAAAGAGCTAATTCTGTCTTAGGTAGTACTGCTTGATCATATAGCTTAACCCTAAATTGAAGCAGTATTGTTTTATTGAAGATAGGACACTTCTGCAAAAATTCCATGCGTGTGGCAATTTAGGTGTGGTAAGAAATGCTTCAGAAAGAAACACTGATCTATTTCTTTAAGTGCCAACACTGTTACATGTGTTAACTCTAATTTAATTCTGCTGTTTCTGAGAAATTTATTAAGTAGGCCAGAACTTACCTGCACTGTTCTGCTGAAGTAGGTGAAATTTGCTCTCTTGTTATTATGATAACTTTATGTGGTTTGTGTACTAGTTTGCTTGGGTATTTCTAACCAATGCAGGACTTGAGTTCTAGATATTTTCAGGATTTCCATTTGTTTTACATACGTTTCTTCATCTGAAACTTTCAAATAAGAAAACACATTTCAACACCATTGAAGCCAGGTAGATAAGCTCAGACAGCTGTGCTGTGCATTGTTCTTCAAATGAACCTTTGCAATATGTTAACTGGGAGAGCTAACACTAATAATAAAAAAATGACTGTAGTTGCTATTTCTAGCCTTTCATTTAGGCATGTTAGAAATATAAAGCAGCTATTCAACCCATTGTGAATCAAATAACATATTATGAGTGATGGAATGTGTTCTGAATAAAAAATGGTATTTCTAAGAAGAATAATTTTGTCTGTAGCATGTAGTTTTATGCAGGTTAAACTGGACAAGCTGAGTAGTTGGTATTTGTCATTGAAAGTAAACAGTAAAACTTTTAATGCCTTTTTTTTTTTTTTTTTGCTGGAGTCTCAAGACCAAGACTGTCCACAAAAGATTTGTGTAGTTGTGCATCTTTTTTTTTTCTGTGTACCTATCACAATGGACAAATTTGATAATTTGGATGTGAATATTGAGACAATTGGCTATTTTTAGATGCCAAATGAACTTTTGAAATTCAAAGAAGTCAGATTTATGTTATGAACAGTATACTAGCTTTACCAAGAAGATGGAATGTAAATACAAAACTGCCTTCTTTGACCATGACAATCCTGTATTTTGGTGCTTTGACTCACTCAAAAGGCTTCAACATTGTATCCTACCATGCTGTAGGATTATTTATATAGGGTTTGAGTAGAAGATTGTGTTTTTAATATAGTCAACTTGACTAATTTATGGTCGTCGCAAACTAGGCAAAAACCAAACTCATGTCTGTACCATTTCGGACAAAAGGTCATTCTGTCCCAATGTCCTGTTCCAATTAAAGCAGCAATAGCTGATCCCTAAGGGCAAATGTAGCTGTTTTGCTCTGTGTGGTCTATTGCTGTCAGAGACTGGTCAGCCATGGATTTTCTGAGGCAGAGGTGTTAGCTTTATGTTAGACAATCCTGCACAGAATTTTTTTTCCCCATTTGCTTTTTGAATATATGTAAACTTTTAGTATCCACAGATGACTCCTGGTTAAGCCACCACTTAACCACAGCTGGTAAAGTTAGTTACTGTTCACAAGGAAGATACACATGTTTAATCACCCACATTGCTTTTGTCTCTGTGTTGCATGTTTCTACTGCATCCTTTTTGGACATATAACATCGTTCTAAAGAATAGCAGGGGCTTGGAAACTGCCATAATTCTGTGCTTTTGCTTTGGTTATAGGCACAACCTATAGGCATTGGTTGTGCCTAACTTGGTCGTTACCGATCTAGGGTATCAGTAGCTGTTTATATTCTGCTCGCTAGGAGCTCAGGGATATCACCAAGGTGATGTGACTTAATGTGGTAGCTTCTATCCACTGAGCAATGCTTGCCTGTATGTGCATCACTAGGTTGTGACAGAGGTGAAATAATTTGATCTGGACTCTGTTTAAACTGCCAGCATTAAAACTACATCTGAACTGCCCTGTTTTCACTAGGGTAATGAGAGTAGTTGTGTTCATGTTACTAACAAGGCTGAATCAGTTTTGTGTATAGTCCTATGGATCTCATGTGGGAAAGTCATAGAATCATAGAATGGATTGGGTTGGAAGGGACCTTAAAGGCCATCTAGTTCCAACCCCACTGCCATGGGCAGGGACACCTTCCACTAGACCAGGTTGCTCAAAGCCTCATCCAGCCTGGCCTTGAACACTTCCAGGGATGGGGCATCCACCACTTCTCTGGGCAACCTGTTCCAGTGCCTCACCACCTTCTCCAGGAAGTACTTCTTCCTGATATCTAATCTAAATGTCCCTGCTTTCAATTTAAACCCATTACTCCTTGTCCTGTTGGGGTGCTATGATATTGGGCAGTAATAAAAACCATCCATGACCAAGCATATTAAAAAAAAAAAAAAATCTGAACAAACCATTCATTTGAGCTTATTTATTTAGCTATTCTCCTTGGAGATGGTTGGCTTCAAAGGGATCTCAGTGGCAAATGAGATCCTTCCAGTTTTGTCACTCTTCATATGTTGCTGGTGAATATTTTTTACCAATAATGGCAGTACTTTATGCTTTTCTTATTGACATTTTGGGACACCACTGTTTTCATGGGCCTCATTTTGATAGTTTCTGCTTGATTCTGGTGGAAGTCTGAGAGAGTTTTTTGTTTGGTTTCTTTTTTTTTTTTTCCTTAAGCTAGTAAAGAAAACCCTAGGCTTAAAATACTGACCTTGTTAATGGAAA